GAGAGAGAGAGAGAGAGAGAGAGAGAGAGAGAGAGAGAGAGAGAGAGAGAGAGAGAGAGGCAGCAAATCTGATCTTGCTCAATCAACCACAAACCAAGCGCAAAAGTAATAAACTCCGCACAGCTTGACATCCGCACTTACCAAGACAACTCCACCGCTCCAGGTGCCGCGCCATCATTTACAGCTTCGCATCGTTTATTTACTGGCAGCGTGAGCATACGCGTGAGCACGCACATGCATGTCTGCCATGATGTCTGCTGCAGTACCTTCTGTGATGTCCACTGACGACACAAGTGTGCAAGCTGAAAAACCGATGGCCTTGACGAATCCCAGATAAATGCTTTATTTTCGCTCGTCTGATTCCATTCAGATTCGAACCCAGGTCTGTATTTCAGCAGTAGTTCGTAGGTGTACCGACTGAGCTAGGCCGATGCTACCTCACAACTTGCGGGAATTTCCCATAGTGCCGTGGTCCTGTATACGTGATAGTGTGAGTAAAACCGTTAGCAAAGAACACCTGCACGCCTGGTGCGATGTCTGCCGTGGTGCCCGCTGCAATTTCTACCGACGTTTGGAGTGTGGAAGCCGCCGACAGTTAGCCTTGACTCATCCAGCACAAGCGCTGCTTCGTAACATCTGGGCATTTCACGTGGATGTCTTTTCTTATAAACACCCATCCGAACTGCTCTTTTCGCCACAGAAATGTGCCTGGAGGGCCCTATATCTGCCACCGTCTCACCGTCCACCTTATGCTCGTGTTGCTGTGACGGGCACCACAGGGGTAGCTGCAACCCAGTTGATAAGCTTTGTGGAGTCCGCTGCCATCTATGGTGCTACCAGTCCACTGGCAGATGAATGGCTGACATTTCTTTCGAACCTGCTTTGAAAACTTTGCTTGTGCGTTTTGGCCCCTGGATGCCATCGCCTCCTCCCGGTGCCATGCACCCCCTCCTTGGCTACGTACGTACCTGCCTCCCACTTCCAACCCTCTGCCACAGCCCTTGGCCTGCAACCTGCGGCCTCCTCCCAATCCCGACACCCCTCCATTCGGCTGCACACCTACCTACGTTAGTCTTGCCCCTGGATGTCATCGCCTCCTGCCAGTGCCATGCCTCCCACTGCCAACCCTCTGCCACAGTGGCCCTTGGCCTGCAACCTGCGGCCTCCTTCCAACCGCGACACCCCTCCCTTCGGCTGCACACCTACCTACCTTTGTTTTGCCCCTGGATGCTATCGCCTCCTGCCAGTGCCATGCATCCACTCCTTGGCTACATACCTACTCGCCTCCCACGGCCAACCCTCCGGGGCAGCCCTTGGCCGGCAACCTGCGGCCTCCTCCGAATCGGGGACCTACCTACCTCCTACTACCAACCATATATGCCGCCGATACCACATTCATTGGTTCCTGCATGGAACCTGTATGCGTTGCCTCTGAGGCTGATGAGACTGATAGTCTTTCAGTCATGTTTGCCACCATATCTCAGTCCACTATTGACTCCCAGCAGTCAGCCGAATATTGACCGACCACAAGCTACCAGACTAGTACCACCCACCTATGCAAACCATGCAGAGACATCGCTCGCTGCTTGGCGCACCACACAAGAGACTCCTGGCCGAAGCAGAGCTTCAGACGGAAACCTACTAGCCAACAACTGACCGGCGTGGTTGGAGGTTCAGTGGGCACTTATTCGCCAGAGAAAAAACACGTCAGAAGTGAAGGTGCCAGAGAGGAAGGGACGTCAGGGTGAAAGACATTTCATCGTCAGTTTCCCGAACTGACAGATGCAGGGACTCCCTGCGTGGGACGGGCAAGAGAGGGTTCTGCCAATTCATCACCGGGAGTAGATTCAGGCCTCGGACGTCCGCAAAAACTATTCACGCATTTCTCGATCCAAGAGCACGTGCACAAGCACCTGCCTCGCGCTCCAGCCATACATCTGGTATGTCTTCGCTCAACATGTTCTGGCACGCTCGCTCTACCTACTTCTACTCTTACTCCTTGCGAGCTGTCGTCCTGGCCAGAGGGACTGCCCGGCTCTCTGGGCGATCCCGCAGACCAGCTGCACGAAACCCCCCGCCTCACTCTCCTTCCCCTACCATTACGTATATGTGCTCCTTGCTCACCCTTTCCAGGGGTGCTTGTTGCCCTTCCTACCCCTGTTACAACCCCTGTTATTTCTTCTGCGTCCCGGCCAAAGGCATCTGCCAATCTGGCCGAGCCGCTCTGACAACTGCGCAGCACTATTCCCAAGCCACTCCAGCTCCGCCGGTGCTGCCCAGTCAGCCTTGACGACGATGATGACGGCGATGATCGAATACGGGCCCTTCCCTGACTGTCACGAGAACCAAAGCATCCCATTCCTCTCGTGCGCACATCATGAAGGACCCGCGGTCCCCCCAGTGGAATCCGTCGCGCCATTACTCCCCCCTCCATTGAGGGCCTCTATCTTGCTAGATAATTCGACTCGGCTAGATTCCCACAACTGCTCTTCAATGCCGTGCCTTCTCATCTCCTCCAGGGCCCGCTCCGCTGCAAACAATGAAGATGCAGTTCCCATCCAAAGACATTGCACAAGGAGCCACAGAAACATCAGAGTATGCTCAGGTCACATGTCAGAAACACATCTCTGCTAACAACTTATAATCACAATCTAGTATTTTCCAAGCATAAACAGTAAACTGAAATACAGTTGAAGGCTTGAAGCTGTTGAACTCGAAGCTGTTGAACTCGAATTATGTTGGTCACACTACAATGACTACATCCCATCATAATTGGAATGTAATCAATTTTTTTTTTTCTACAGGGACTAAACTGCAAAAAATTCCACCAAGAAACTCAAAAAACGGAGGCGGGGGGAAATGATGCGATCATAATTTTCCGGACTAAAACAAAGAAAATTTCAAAATCCGCATCAAGAAGACAGGTCAAAAAAGAGTCCAACAATACCACCTACAGTCTGTTGATCAGGGTCACCAACCCGTACGTACGGAGGTCCCCGGGCAGACCTCCGTACGTACAGGCGTTCGGGTTCCCGTACGGGGTCCAAACCCGACGGCGTTCGGCCCCCACCAAAAATTATTTCGAAGCCTGAAAATAATATTTTTTTCTGAATTTTTTTTTGTGAGTTCTCTATGGCGGGAGGTACATGCCTGTTAATTTTCAAGTCATTTGACTAAGCCAAATAAGAATAAAAAATCACTCGCCAAAGATGGCGGTGTCAAAACGTGCTCCCCCAATAATTTTTCACTTTTTACTGTTTGTTTTCACTTTAGTTCAGGGTCTAAACAATTTTATTATTTTTTGAAACTTTTTTAGTGGGTTTTGTATTATGTGAAGTACACATCTGTAAATTTATACACATCTAGATGTGTATAAGAGACAGCACACACACACACACACACACACACACACACACACACACACACACCGCTCTTGCACACAGACACAACAGACACACACACAACACAACACCCACAACACCCACAACAAACATACAGAATAATGCCAACAGGCAGTTCTTAGGCACACCCATAGGCCATGCACAGGCACACATACATCTCCTCTTGTGCAATTATGCGCGCACAGACACACACATCATCAGCATCATCATCACACGCACACACATCGCAATAATGACAACAAGAGGCAGTTCTCCTGAACCTTGAAGCCTCGCGAGCCGTAAGAAACCCTGGCTGCCATGTTCTTCTCTTAACGATGGCACTATCGTAGTGATCTGTATCAAATCTTGAAATAACAAGAATCCTCCGAGGGTGAGACGAGAGAATCATGTACAGTTTTGAGTATCGTCAACCGCACAAATCCCTGTACAGCCATACCCCTCCCTAGCACGCTGCAGCTTCTCCCAACCCGCTTCTTTTCCTCCCTCCACAGTAGTCCAATCAGATGGAAAAGGAAACAAAACTAGTTATATCTGAGGAGTATCAAGTTATATCTGGGGAGTATCAAAGCCAAAAACACATAGACTAGCTTCGTCCATGTACGCATAATGCCTCTACGACATTGCCTTGCAAACACAGAGCAAAACCAGACAGCTGATCGTTGAGCAGATTAACAATAAACACATCTGAACATGAAATATTAGTTGTTTGACGCTTCATGAGCAATGATGGCATCCACAGATCCATAAAACCTCAATCAACGGCTGCCGCAGCAGGTGTGCCACCCCACTTCTCCCTCCTCCTCCTCCTCCTCCTTCCCATATACCACCTCATGCCCACTCTCTGCCCACCAACTCTGGAATCATCCCATCACTTTCCTCCCTCCCTCTTACTCACCTTAACTCTGGAATCATCCCATCACTTTCCTCCCTCCCTCTTACTCACCTTAATTTACTCCCCATCTTCGGAAAATACGCTCTCCTTCATTTAGCCCACAACCAAACAAGTGTCCTTTCCTTCCCTTGCCCCCCTCTTCCTCCCCACCCCCCTAAAGATCAGCACCATCACAGAGAGAGAGAGAGAGAGAGAGAGAGAGAGAGAGAGAGAGAGAGAGAGAGAGAGAGAGAGAGAGAGAGAGAGAGAGAGAGAGAGAGAGA